TTTTTGTTTTTTTTGCTTATTTAAAGATGCAAAGTATAGTACCTCTAATAAGAGTTTAGTAGAGAGAGTAGCTAGTTAGGTAGTAGGTTAAATTAGCTCTAGATTAATTAGAGAATAATTCTAAAGTTTATTTTAAATCTACTTCTTAGTAATAGTATTCTCTTCTACTACTCTAGAGTTATTATAGCACTTTATTACCTCTTAAAAGAAGTAATAGGTAGCGTAGTACATTTATAGAGGTATTACGCTAGTAGAATTTAGCGTAATAGAGTACTAGAGGTAAGTTTTATAAATATATTTAATAAAGTTTAATCTTCTCTTATAGCGCTGCTAGAATTAGTTTAGAATTAATCTATAAAGAGTTCTAGGTAACTATTAGACTTATACTATAAAAACTTAAAGAGCTTTTATTATACTTTATGTAATAGAAGAGTTTTCTATAAAAGATAATATATCTTCTCTCTAAGTTCTTAAGGTTAAACTTTATAAAGCTACGTAGAAGTGTAGTAAGAGTAGTATATTAGGTACACGTAGGCTAGAATAGTTAGTAATTAATTTAAAATTAGTTAAGTAGAGATAAATCTTATTAGAAAGAACTCTACTTACTATATTTAATATAGAAAAGATAGAATTAGAGAGTAAGATAGATTTTAGTAGATTTTATCTAGCGCTAAAAACTCTTTAATTATACTAACTATTCTAAAACTAGTCTAGTTTTCTCTTAACTAGTTCTAAATTAATTTACGCTAGAGATAAACCTACAGCTCTCTTTCTTAGAGCTCTAACTTAGCTTTCTTAGTTTAGATTTAAAGTAACTTTCTTTCTTATTAAAGTTTTACTCTTTTATACTCTCTTTTAAGCTTACGCTTCTTTTCTTCTAAGTCTATATCTAGGTTAGAGCGTTCTCTACGTAGATTAGTTCTAAATTAATCTAGAAATAGTTATACTTATAAAGCTAGTAATAAATTAGCTCTAAGAGAGAATAAGGCTAAAGGTAATAACTAGAATGTCTATATACGCGAGCGCTGCGCTGCTAGCTAGAAGCTTAGGCACTAGTAAGGTTACTATCTTAATAGCCTAGGTAATTTAAGTAATTTAAGAATATTATCTTTCTCTTTATTCTTTTTCTCTTACTTCTTACGCTCTAAATAGTTTAGAATTAATCTATATATAGATAACTAAATACTTACTCTTTTCTTATCTTATATTATTATAAAAGTAGCTACTTAGGCTTAAATTTTACTTTAATTTATACCTAACACTATACTTTTTATAGATTTTATATTTCTATATATTCTATAGATCTATCTATATAGCGCTATATAAAATTAGTTATAAAATAATTTAGAACTAATTTAATATATAGTCTAATGCTAACTAGAAGCTTATGTTTTAGGCTAGTGTAATAGCTCTTTATATATACTTATTCTATAGTATTTATATAGAATTCTAGTATATTCTAGGTAGCTCTAGATATACTACTATAGTGTATATTTAATTCTATAGTAATAATAGAGTTCTTCTTATTTTTTACCTATTCTTTAGCTATAAGTATTAAAGTATTTTCTTAGAATAGTTTAGAAACGTTCTAGAATTAATTTAGACTACTTACTAATAAGTAGATTACATAACTTAAAATACTTAGCCTAGCTTACTATAGTAAGTAGCGCCTTTATTCTACTCTATAAAGAATCTTTAATATATAGTATACTAGAATAAGCTTTATTAATAGTGTAAAGAAAGTAAATAATATAGAATCTTATACAGCAGCTAAGGTAGTACTTCTAGTCTCTATTAAGCTAGTTAAGGCTAGTAAAGTACCTTCTAAATTCTAAGCTAAAATAAGCGTAGATTAATTATAAATTAATTTAACTTACTAGCTATCTACTTAGTATCTATATTAATAGTAATACTATAGAAACTACGTGCGTAGAGATGCTGCTATTATACTAGCTAATCTAAACGCTTTTTAATAGTTTAGAAAAAGGTAGTAAATATCTTTTAGTATATCTTAGAGAACTTAGTATTAGTAGTAAGACGCCTAAATATAATAACTATGTAGATTAGTTATAGATTAATTTAGAAGTAATTTACATACTCTTTTTATAGCTCTTTAGTATAGTAGTAAAAAGAATTTTTCTCTAACTATTATAGTAGTGCTTAAAAGATATATCTATCTAGAAAGTCTTTTATTTTATAAGTAGTTTAGCTTACTTATTCTATACTTAGATAATAATATAGCCTTTACTAGCTAGTAAGATTTAGTAAATATATATTTATATAAATTAATTTAGAAACGTTTAGAAAATATTTTAGATAGCGCTTATAGTAGTAGAGTTAAAATAGTTTACTTTTCTCTTAAAAAGAACTCTCTCTAGGCTAGCGCTTAGAGAAAATATAATTAACCTTTAGGTAGTAGCTATTCTTATAAGATAGTTTTTATTTATCTAAGTAGTATAGAGTTTCTTAATTAATAAAACTCTATACTACCTTAAGTAGAAGGCAAACTAGTTAGACTATAAAAAGGTAGCTAGAATAGTTTAGAAATAATTTAGAATTAATATCTATAAAATAGCTTATATCTTATAGTGTTTAGTATTAATATTAATTAGAATATATAAACTATATTCTTAACTAATTCTATGTCTAGCTACTAAGGTAGAGAGAGTATATACTAGTGTATACTAGTTAAAACTACTATAAAGTATAGAACCTGCTTAAAATACAAAGAAATAATAATATTAATTACTATATTATAGTCTTATAGAATAAGTTTACCTTAACTTTAAGTATAGTTAGTACCTAAAATAGTTTAGAATTAATCTAGAAATATTTTTTAAGAACTTACTATAGTCTTTTAGGTATAAGATTTAGAGCTTAACTATATTATAGTTCTTATAAGAGCCCTCTACTTTACTATCTAGAAGAGCTTATAAGTAGGTAATATTAATTTTTAGTAGTACTCTCTAGATATAGTACTCTATATTACCTAGAGCGTAATTACTATAGGTAATAAACTAAGAGATAGGCTCTATTACTTACTAGAATTAGTTAGAAATTATTCTAGAAATAGTTTAACTATATATACTATTAATTCTGTCTAAAATAACTCTAGACTATAGAAACCTTTTTTATTAGTATAAATACTATCTCTAAACTAACGCTAAAGCCTATTAAAGTAGCTTCTAGCCTTTCTTCTCTTTTTATTCTACTTAATTTAGCTTATAGATATCTTTATCTACTTAAGTATCTTATATAAGCTTTTATTTATCTATAAGTAAGTAAAATTCTATAATTAATTTTAAATATATTTATATATCTTAACACTAGAGTACTTAAAAACTTATCTTAAGGTAGTTAAATTTAAGAAGAGGCTAAAAGTCTTCTTTTTTTCTACTTTACTAGCTCTATAGTATTAAAACTACTTATACTAGATTAGTTCTAAATTAATCTAGAAATAGTCTACGTAGGCTACTTACACTTTTAGTATCTTATAATACTCTCTTAACTAAAGAATATTACCTATTTACTTTTAAAACTTAAATAATATAAGTATAGTCTCTAGAGTCTATACTAGAGTATTAGAGTAGATATATAGTATACTTAATAACTCTAGCCTTTAAGAGAGGCGCGCTACTATTTTTAAAAGTAAGTTAAACTATACTTTAGTTTAAATAAGTCTAGAATTATTCTAGAATTAATTTAACTATATACTTTAACTTAGTCTTTAATACTACTATTATTACCTTTACTAGAGCTAAATAAATATAGATTAAATTTCTTATAAATATCTAGGTCTAATACGTTAAAGTTAAGAAATTTAGGCTTAGTATTAAATATAAGCGAAAAAGGCTCTATATTATAATATAGATATAATCTAGTCTAAATTAATTTAGAATAAATCTAAGAATTATTTAAATTAAAAATTTTATTGCTAAGTGCGCTAATTCTCTTAAGTAGTATAACGCTAGTATACTATATTTTAAAAATTACCTGTTTGCGTTAGCGCATGCTATGTCTTAGCGCGCCCTTAGTCAGATAGACTGTATGCACAATCCACCAAGCTGGCTGGATGCAAACGTCATGACTTTGAACGCCGCGAGATCGTCGCGTGGACGTCACAGCTGTCATAGCTCCAGATTTCTTTTGCTAGAGCTTGGGTGAGCCGCACATTCCAGCCCTGGTCGTTTGAAACCTCATTCTTGCATACCCACGACCTCAATTCGTACATCACCCTCACACAAACCTCAATTCAAAAACAATGGCGAGCAGGACCTTCACACCAATGCTCCGCAATGCGGTTCGCGTCTCACAGCGGAATGTTATGGCGGCACCGTGCCGTCGCTTCTTGAACACTGAGACTGCGCCCAGCCTCTACTCAGCAAAGGCGCACGTAGTCGGCGCACGCACAGGGTACGATGAACTATTCCATTGAACACACGAGGAAACAAACTGACACATCTCCAGACATGTAGACGGCGAGAACCTAAAGGTCGACCTCACAATGGCCAAAGCCCTCGGCGGCCCCGGCGACGCCGGAAAGACCAACCCAGAAGAACTCTTCGCAGCCGGCTACGGTGCATGCTGTGCGTCGCTCCTACCATTCATCTCCATAGTTTTAACTAACCCCACTAGTCCAATCCGCCATGAACGCCGTCGCCCCCTCCCTCGGCGTAAAGATGCCCTCCACCCCCGAAGACTCGATCGTCGAATCCACCGTCGAACTCGTCGGCAGCATGAAAGACCTAGATATGGGTCTGCGCGTGCAGCTGCTCGTCAAGGTGCGCGGGCTGGCGAAGGAGGATCTGGAGAAGGTTGTGTACAAGGCGAGGCAGGTTTGTCCGTACAGTCGGGCGACGAAGGATAATGTTTACACCACTGTGAAGTGTGAGACTATGTAAGACGCGTGTAGCTGAAGAGGACGGCGTGGAAGGGAATGTAGATGATGGCATCATGTAAAGAACGAATGAACGAATGAATACATGAATTACGGAATGATGTTACAGACGCGTCTCCTGCGAGCTTTCAACGATAGCAGCCAGCACCCCCTCCGCCACATCTTGCCCATCCTCCGCTTCGGTAACCCAAGTCACGCGTCCACTACGTGGACTGCGTACTTCTAGTTCCATTTTCATTTGTTGAACCACGCAAATTACATCTCCTTCTTTCACCACATCGCCCTCGTCAACTAACACTTCTACAAGTTTTCCCGGGAATGGGATACTGATGTGTGAAGGATCGCTCGGGTTCCCTCGTCTATGATGCGACGTCGCTGCTGACGCGCTAGCGGAGGTGGAGGAGAGGGTTATGGTGTAGGGTGTTGTTTGCGGCATGCTAGATGAAGCTGTTGAGGGCGTGGTGAAAAGGAGTTCTGCGCTGAGGGAGGTGGGGAAGTCGTTGCGCAGGACGCGGGTTAGTTCGAGGTGGTGGGGTGTTGGTTTCTCATTGGCTTTTGTGATGGGATTAGAGATGGAAATGGACCATGCGTCGCCTTTCCGGAAGAGAGTGTTGGCTGTTGAGACTACGGATGTTGAGGAGGATGGCGCGATGTCTGAGCTTAGGGTGTTTGGGCTGGCTGAGGCGATGGTTTGGCTTGATTGGAGGAGCTCGGTTTGTTTGCTTTCTAGCCATTGCGTGTCGCATTTTCCGTTTAGGAAGTCTGGGTGTGCGACAATGGCTTTTAACATGTCGATGTTTGTCTTTACTCCAGCGATCTGCGTATCATCCAACGCTCGCTGGGCTTTACGAACGGCGTCTTTCCAAGATGACGCTGTTACAATGACCTTCGCGATCAGACTGTCGAAATCTGCGGATACCACGGCGGGTCGGCCGCTGATGAGGTGCGTGTCGACCCTAATACCGTTACCCGAAGGGAACTGGAAAGAGGTGATCTTGCCAATTGATAATGACCAATCGCTCTGAACATTCTCCGCAGTGATGCGAAGTTGGATCGAATGCACTGGAGGAAGAACTTCCGGGTCTCTCTCTGCGACTGGTAGGCCGCAGTCATTCAGAGATACACCCTGAGAGAGTAATAGCTGTGCCTTGACGATATCAGTCATAGAGATGGACTCTGTGATCGTGTGCTCGACTTGTAAGCGAGGGTTGACCTCCAAAAAGTAGTACTCTTTCGTTGATGGGTTCATGAGGAACTCAAAGGTGCCGAGGGAGAAGTATTGTATCTATTTTGACATCAGCCTGGTTCAGTCTTCAACAGCATTGGTACTTACCTGTCTCGCCATCTTCAAGGCATTCTCGATGACTTGTGCAATCAGTTTGCGGTCAGACACAACGCTTGGTGCCAGCTCAACGATCTTCTGGTACCTTCTCTGGATACTGCATTCGCGTTCCCAGAGATGCGTTACGTTTCCAGTGCCATCTCCGATGATCTGGACTTCGATATGCCGGAAGCCATCAACAGCAGCTTTTTCAGCAAAGACTTGCTTGGAAGGGCTTTCTTCGACGGCTCTTTTGACTAAGGAGGCAAGCTGGTCTTGGCTGCGAATGAGACGTATTCCGCGGCCACCGCCTCCATCTACTGCTTTGACCATGATTGGAAAGCCGACTTCAGATGCGAAGCGCTGGACGTCTTCGACTTTGTTAGTCGGTTGCTGGAGTGCTGGAGATACTGGGACGTCGCCTGGTTTACGTGTCAGTAATCTCGCGACTCTAACGCGCCTTTTGTCTTACATCGCTGGGCAAGCTCTCTCGCCTTGAGTTTATCTCCAGTATTACTCAAGATCCCCCATCCGGGACCGACAACTACGGCGCCGGTCCCTTCCCATATTCTCTTCGAGAAGTCTTCGGACTCAGATAGAAAGCCATATCCTGGATGTACAGCATCGATTTGGTGCTTTTTGACGATGCCGACAAGATCATCAATACTCATGAAAGACGAAGCTGATGATAGTTTGATCGCATGGCTTGCTCGGACGGCATGCGAGTCGTCGCCTGATACGTAGATTGCGAACGTCTCAATGTCGAGTTCTCGTGCTGAAGAGATAATTCGTGTTGCTATCTCTCCCCTACAGACAGTTAATCACGCTCACCAGGACACTACCTAGGTCTTTGGCCACTAACCTATTCGCGATAAGAAGTCGTTTGATGGGTCTTTGTGGAGGTCGCGTCATATTGGAGTCCAGCCAGCAGTATGGATCGGTCAAGCAGTACATTCGTGGATATACCTACCTAGGTACCTATGCCACTATGCCATCAGTGGAATGACTCGAGTGGACGACTCGTTGGGTTAGGTAAGGCGAGACCACGTTGTCCGTCGTCAAAGAGGCTTCTTGAGAGCTGGAATGCGATTTGGATGATATGTTAAAGCGGGACGCTCGTTGAACATTCGATTCATCCACAATGACATGGTCGCGTTTTGGTGGAGTGCGATGGAGGAGGGCAAGCGCGGGGAGCTTGAAGATGCCTCGGTTCCCCAGCTCTACCCCAACATTCTACCACGACCATCCCATCTTGGTCCGCACTATCGAGATGTGACGATTTCGTTGTCGCTCCATCACTGGAGCTCGAAAACAACCTTAACTACACTTCATCAACAGTCATGGCTGGTGACGAGCCCGGGCCAAAGCCCTCGCCCAAAGACGCGCCGACGTCATCCGAAACCGCCAAAGACCGACTCGCGCAGGTCAGCTCCCACATCGCGCCCAACACACCAAAGCGACGACGACGGAAAGGAGCAGACTCAGATCTACCCGCTGATTACTCTGATATCCTTGGGCAGATCGCAACTCTGCGCAAAAGTGCCGCCACGCCAGACAAGAACAATAGGGGCTATGTGAGGCAGAAGCAGGCAGGGAAGCTATGGGTTCGCGAAAGGGTCGAGCAGCTGCTTGATCCGGGGAGCTTCCAGGAGGTGGGCAGCGTGAGTGGGACAGTCAAGTGGAAGCAGTTAGGGCCGGTAAAAGAGGAACCGGAAGACTACGTGCCTTCGAACAACGTGCAGGGTATGTACTATGGACGGCATTGGGAAGATATACTGACGGCGGGTAGGCTTCGGACGATTACGAGGTCGAAAGATTGTGTTTACGGCCGATGACTTCTCCATACGCGCTGGACACGCTGATGGCGCGCTTATGGAGAAGACCGTGAGTTCGATTCATTGCATCGATCCGTGCTGGTACTGACGACTGCAGATATATATGGAGAAGCTCGCGATCGCGTTGAAGCTTCCCATCGTCAAACTCGTCGATGGCTCATCCGGCGGCGGCTCCGTCACGACCATTCGCTCCACAGGCTTCTCCTACGTCCCTCCGCTACCCTCCTTCGCACAAGTCGTACAACAACTCAATAGGGGGATACCGAATCTGGGCGCTGTTTTAGGGCCGGCGATTGGCCTAGGAGCAGCTCGTGTGGTGGCCTGCCACTTCTCGGTCATGGCTGCAGATATTGGATCTTTGTTCAACGCTGGTCCCAGTGTTGTCAAGAACGCGACATTCGAGGAGGGTCTTTCCTTTACAGATCTTGGTGGGCCCGCAATGCATTGCACCAATGGCACAATCGATAACCTGGCGCCGGACGAGGCGGGCTGCTTCGAACAGATACGCACGGTTCTGAGCTACCTGCCCGACTGCGGTACGAAGCTGCCTCCAGCAGTCGACTGCTCTGACCCAATCGACCGAATGTCAGAAAACCTCCGATCTATCATACCGCGCTCGAAGAACCGAATGTACAACCCGCGCGCCATAATCACCGAAGTTGTTGACCAAGGCTCGTTCTTCGAGATTGGAGCCCTTTGGGGTACTACGGCCATAGTAGGCCTTGCGCGTTTCGCAGGCAAACCGGTCGGCATAGTCTCTCTCAACTGCGAGCAGAATGCCGGCGCACTGGATGCATTGGGTTCGCAAAAAATTACACGCATGCTAAAGTTCCTTGACGTCTTCAACCTCCCGCTCGTCCAATTCGTCGACGTCCCAGGCTACGCGATAGGAACCGTTGCAGAGCGCACTGCAACGATGCGGCACGGCGTCACTCTCGCTGCGACCTATTACAGCACAACCATGCCCATCTTCAACGTCATTGTGCGACGAGTCTACGGCGTAGCTGGAGGCATCATGCTAGACTGCCGCGACCCACGCATGCGCGTCGCTTGGCCGTCCGGCGTGTGGGGCTCCCTACCACTCGAGGGTGGCATTGAAGTTGGACATTCGTTTGAACTCAAGGAGATTGAGAGGAAAGAAGGAAGAGAAGCGCGAGACAGGCGTTATACAGAGTTGGAGAACGAGTACAAACGACTGATGAACCCAGTTCGTACTGCGAACGCGTTTGGCATCGAGGAGATTATCGATCCGGCATATACACGGCGAGTCTGTTGTGAGTGGACAGATCACATGTATGAAAGCTTACTGCCAGAGCGCGTTTTGGAGAGGATCGCAGGAAAGTTGCAGCCTTCCTTCGCTTAGAGTTGGATATCGCGTTCGTGTCCGAAAGAGCACTCGTGAATACATACGATCTGAACTTTATCCTCCAACACAGTCATCTACTCACCGGTCACCTACACTGCGTCATGGCAACAGCCGGTCAGAGATAGCGCTGAGTTTACGATACGTTCGCAACATCTGGAGTAGTCCGTCAGACACCATCGCTTACTTACACCGCATCGCTTACCGTAAGACATACCGCGCACGGCCCACTGTTGTCCATCTTCCGCAATCGGCTCATTATATCCTGCTTGTATATCCAATGCCATGGAGCCGAAGGTTCGTCCTCCGGATGCGGTGCCGTGCTGACCATTCTGGAACAAGCTGGCCGTCAAATTGGTATCGCTAATCAAGTTCTTACTGGGTACTTTACCCCCCTTGGCATATACTCGGGTTGAGGAAACTTACATCGAGTATAAGATGTCATCGTGTATCATGCGCACGTCGTTTGGCTCCGACTTACAGATTTCTTTATCGCATAGCGCCGAACAAACATTACGCAGATGCGTGTGTGTTTCATGCCCACAGTCATACGAACAGCGACACAAAAGCGAATCTGTGTGGCGTACTACTCTATCCGCGTACCACAACTTTAGGGACGATCCTTGATTCGTTACTGGACGTCGTATATGACCACCAACATCGCCCGGGTGCGGGGCAAAGGTCAATGCACCCCTACCCCAGCACAACTCTACCACGGCCCTTCTAGTTTCGTTGCCTCACCTGCATGCAGTTTGGTGATACGAGCCATGATGCGCCACGCAAATCTGGGGTATATAGGACTAACGGGCATGTCCGCACGCCCCGGACGCCCATCACTGCTAGCCGCCACTGCTTCGTTTATCTGTCTAGTGACATTCCCTCGACTTCTGCTGGAACTGCAGTCTGAAGTGTGATACCAAAGATGGCGCCTGTTGGCGCTGCGGCGGCTGCGAGGCAGGCGGAACCGATATTGACGCGCATTGTTGAACAGGACCAGATACCTTGGTACAGAAAGCGGAATTTGAGGAGGCTGTATGCACTCTTGCTGCCGACGTGTATTGGGATTGAGATGACCTCTGGATTTGATTCGCAGATGATCAACGCAGTGCAAATCGCGCCAACATGGCGGCTCTGTAAGTCGAGGTTTCGGCCATAACATGCCGTTGCTGACAACGTAGACTTCAATAACCCACAAGGAGCGCTTCTCGGTATCATGTCTTCAGCATACAACCTTGGCGCAATCTGCGCTCTTCCACTGGTGCCGTACGTGAACGATAGGTTTGGCCGACGATGGGCGATCTTCTTAGGCTCTTGGATCATGGTTGTAGGATCTGTAGTACAAGCCTTCTCCATTAGCGGTAGGACTGACCGTTCAATCATCAGATGAAGTTTGTACTAACACGTTGTAGCTGGCATGTACGTCGGCGCGCGCTTCATCCTCGGTTTCGGCATACCCTTCTGCATCATCGCAGGTTCATCACTAATGGGCGAGCTTGCATATCCAAAGGAACGACCTATTATGACATCCCTCTTCAACGCACTCTGGTTCGTAGGCTCGCTCATAGCAGCAGGAGTCTCTTACGGCACCCAAAGCCTAAAAGACGACTGGGCCTGGCGCATACCCTCGCTACTCCAAGCCGGCCCATCACTACTCCAAATCGTCTTCATCTTGTACCCGCCTCATCCCCACTGCTTCCAAGATCTCACCAAGCTAACCTCCCCAGCATGATCCCCGAATCTCCTCGCTTCCTCATCTCCAAAGACCGCCGCGAAGAAGCCTACGCCACACTAATCACCTACCACGCCGAAGGCGCCACAACCTCGCCTTTCGCCGCCGCAGAAATGGCCCAAATCGAACACACGATCCGCATCGAACTCGAACATTCAAAACGCTCCTGGCGCGAAATGATCGCCGTCCCCGGTCTACGCAAGCGCGTGATAATCGGTTCTTTCCTCGGCCTCTTCACACAGTGGTCTGGAAACACTTTACTCAGCTACTACCTCAACCAGCTCCTCAACATGATCGGGTACGACGACCCTGGCTTTGTAGGCAAAGTGAATGTTGGGCTCAATAGCTGGAATCTGGTGAATGCGGTGTGTATCTCGCTATTGGTGAGGCGGTTTCCGCGTAGGAAAATGTATCTCATCTGCGCGAGTAGTTTGTTGTGTTGCTATGTCGCGTGGACGGTGGCGATGCAGCGGTATACGGCTACGAAGAGGATTGAACCTGCGCGGCTGACGATTGCGATCATCTTTTTGTATCAAATGTGTTATAATATTGGGTATAATGCGTTGACCTACAGTGAGTTGGTGCGAGGGTATTTGATGGGGAAAAGGATGCTAATGGACCCGCAGCTTTTTTGGTCGAGTTGTTTCCATTTGCGCAGCGCACAAAGGGGATTACTATCTTTCAGTTCTTCAGTCGGACGGCGGTTTTTACAACGACGATACTCAATCCTATTGGGTTGAAACATGTTCAGGGGAAGTGGCTGATTATGTATTGCGCTTGGCTGGGGTTTGAGATTGTCTTCATCGTAGGTTCTTAATCTCTCCTACCCAGTCCGTATCTCTTATTCGAGTCCATGCGCTAATGCATTCGCAAAGTACTTCATGTTCCCCGAAACCTACGGCCGTACCCTGGAAGAACTCGCGTTCCTCTTCGAAGACCACGCTCTTGCTGATGAGGCGACGACGCATGTCGAGAAGCAGATGGA